CTAGGGTTCAGAGTGACCTTATGCCCAGTGGGACAGTCCACTGCCGGCCCTGTGCCTTCCTCATGAGCATTGTTGTTAGGGTTCAGAGCGACCTTATGCCCAGTGGGACGGTCCACTGCCGGCCCTGTGCCTTCCTCATGAGCATTGTTGTTTGGCTCAAGCACACTGTCCGGAGTACGGGGACGTCATGGCTGCAGAGCTTGAATGCTGATGTTCTAGTTGTTAAGTGCCCTGAAGTCGGTTCTGACCTATAGGAACCCTGTATAGAATTTCTGAGAAGTGGCTGGTGTGTTTGAACCGCTGACCTGTGGTCCAGTGCTGACCTTTTCAGTTTGAATGGGAAGTGTGAATAGCAGTTGAGGAAAGGACCCCCAACAGGTGGTCAAAGACAAGGCACCTAATGAGTGAGATTTATAGACAGCTTCTTAAGCTTTTTGTGGGGAAGAGCCCTCACGATGACCCTCAGTCTAGGGGCTAGCAGCTAGCTGGTCATAGGCGCAGCTTCTTCAGTGTCTTGTGTTTAAAGGAAACCCTGACTGCAAAGGAGCTGCTCAGCCACTGGCCCAGCAGAGCTCCCTCAGGGCATCTCAGGGGGATGCAGGCCAAGACCGTGGCCAGGGACGTGTGTCCTCTCATGGCTGATGACTTGCATCCATCCTCTCTCTCAGACGAGGCTGCGGCCCCTGACCCTGTAACGTCTCCTTCCAGGAAGACACAGAGAGGACCCAGATCAACGTGTTGGCTGTGCAGGCCATCACCTCGCTGGTGCTGAGTGCCATGAGTGTCCCCGTGGCCGGAAACCCTGCTGTGAGCTGCTTGGAGCAGCAGCCCCGGAACAAGCCACTGAAAGCTCTGGACACCAGGTCTGCCTGCAGGGAAGGAGAGACGCTGAGAAGGCGGAGCTCCCCATGTCCCCAGCAGTGAAGCAGCGCCTGCTGACAGGATGCCAGGCAACCTGGAGCTGCTGGCTGAGTGTAGAGGAGCGGGCAGGGTCCAGCAGGTGCCCCGTAGTCTCTGGGCCCAGCTCAGGGAGCCCTGATATAGGGGTTCACAGGAAGCAAGCTGATGTTAACCTTTGTTCTGCATTTCAGGTTTGGGAGGAAGTTGAGCGTCATCAGAGGAATTGTCGAGCAGGAAGTTCAAGCCATGGTTTCCAAGAGAGAGAATATCGCCACGCATCATTCGTACCAAGCCTGGGACCCCGTCCCTTCTCTGTCTCCAGCTACTACAGGTACCTCTGAGGAGGAAGAGGCCTGTGTCCCCGGGCTGAGACAGACCATACTGTGCATGTGGAACACACCGGTTAGGCAGGAAGCCTCACGTGTGGCTGTGTTCTCTGTACATGGGTCCCCGTCACAGATAGAAGCCTCACTTAGGGCTGGTGTGTTAACTGTCATAGGGACACTTGAAGTTAGGGAGAAGAATTCTCAGAGGCTGCACGAGGTCTTTCAGCCTGAACGGGCCCCTCCTGTCCGGCTCTGGGGCTTATAGAACAAGGTCCATGCAGCAGCACCCACCCCAGCCTGGCCGCTCCTGCAGCTGCCCTGTGGACACATGACCCTGCCTTAAAAGAAATGCAACTTTTGGAGTTTGGGTTTTTTCCATAATGTCCGTGTCCTTTGTTGAAACAATGGCATTTCACAGAGAGCCTCTGTGAGTCCCTGGGTGTCCGGAAGCTGTCAGCTCTCGTGGAGGCGATGAGGGCACGAGGTGGAGTGGCTGTCCTCAGCCCTCAGGAGCCCTCAGCTAACAGCAGGGGAGACAGGCACAGCTAGCTTTCATGGGAGTGGGATGTGCCAAGCCCCCTCCAAACCACCCTCCCAGCCCTGAGGAGAGCAGACGCCTCAGGGCAGGGAGTCTTGGGAGCCTCCTGGGCGTTTCCTCTGGAATCTCGGAGGCTCTGTTGTTTCTGGGCAAGGTTGGGGCAGCTCGGGGAATGGGAGAGGGCTGGGGGGGAGGCAGGATGTGCAGGAGAAGGTGGGTGTCCAGCGTTGGGAAACGGTGGGCAGAGCTGCCAAGTGATCCTCATTGGGTCTGTGGTTGGGGCTGCACATCGAACGCCCACTCAGACTCTGTGATCTTGGTCAGTCAGCCCCATCCCCAGAGTCGGAGGCTGAAGGACGAGCCAAGAGAAAAACGATGGTCACACAGACCAGTCAGCGTAGCAGGTTCTGAAGTGGACAGAAAGGCCTGGAAGCTGGGCAGGCTCTCTGCACAGGGTGCCAGAGGCCGAGGCAGAGCAGCTGGGCGGAGGGGCCGCAGAGGGAACCCCAGCCTCAAGGTGTCCTTGCTTTGCAGGTGCCCTCATCAGCCACGAGAAGCTTCTACTACAGACCAACCCCGAGCGGGAGCTGGGGAACATGAGCTATAAGCTCGGCCAGGTTGGTTTCCACCGGCTTCTCTGCCCACTGCCTTGTCCTCACTCGACGTGTGTAAGGTCCAGGAGAGAGACGGCCAGGGGAGCAGTTCACACGGTCAGGACGGCCAGGACCCCTGGCTCCAGCAGGCCCAGCTCAGAGCAGCACAGCCGTGTGGACAGTGATTGTGAGCGGGACCTCTTCATGGCAGGAGCGAGGCAGGCAGGTTGCAGACGAACAGGGCAGCCTCAGACATCTCTTGGCTGACAGGCAGGGACATACATTCATCATCCAAGGTCGGTGGTTCAAAATCGCCAGCCGCACCTCAGAAACCCTATGCAGGGCCACTCTGGGTCGGAATAGACCACACGGCACTTCACAGTGACAACAACAACCACAACCAGTGTCAGGCCAGTCCCCACGGTGACTCAGGACAGTCTGCCCGCCCCTCAGCCACGGCGCGTTCCCCGTGCTCTTGTGCTGGCCTGAACGTCCTGTTCCTTCCGCAGGTCTCCATACACTCTGTGTGGCTGGGGAACCACATCACACCGCTGCGCGAAGAGGAGTGGGACGAGGAGGAGGAGGAGGAGGCCGACGCGCCCGCCCCTTCCTCACCACCCACGTCGCCTGCCAACTCCAGGTTCCCCATTTGCCTCTTTAAGATGTTTTGAAGCAATTTGAGGTTACTCATTAGTCATTGGACTTATTGGGGGTTGTCTTTATTATATTCTCTTTGCAGGAAACACCGGGCCGGAGTGGACATCCATTCCTGCTCACAGTTTTTGTTAGAATTGTACAGTCGCTGGATCCTCCCATCCAGTTCAGCCCGGAGGACTCCTGTCATTCTGATCAGTGAAGTGGTTCGATCTGTGAGTCTACAGCTTGTGATTGGCTAACCAGGCGCGTGCAAGCACGCATACCCAACCCAGCCACAACTTAGATGGTGTATACCAAAGCACCAAAGCCTTTGCCATCGAGTCCACCGTAACTTCTAGTGGTGTAGGGCTGAGTGCACCTGCCCCAGACGGCTCCCCCAGCTGTCAGCTGTACAGCAGCAGATGGCCTCATCTCACTCCCGCAGAATGGCTGGTGAGCTCGTTAGCAGCTGAGCACTTAACCACCATGCCACCAGGGCTCCTTTTTGTACGTATGTGTCACCCAGAGGTCTCCCAGGCGGCAAAGCTTATGGGAGCAGAGCTTTCGTTTCCTGTGAAGCTTTGTTGGGTTCTAACGGCAACTTTTCAGCCAGCAGCTGAGCACTTGCCCTCTGCGCCAGCAGGGGTCACCTGGAGTTGCTCTTAGCACCTTTTCACACTGGGGAAGGACACAGCGCTGCTGCCCGGGGCTCTGAGTCTGCATTCCAGCAGCAATGCCGTGAGGTGTCAGACCACCGGGGTGGTTCTACAGGCCTGCTTCCCGCATCTATGCCTCCTCACCAGGGCCGGGCACGCACAGTCCCAGGGCCACAAACCCGCGCAGTAGCACTGATGTAGAGCAGTTGGCACATGCTTTCTGATCCCGGGATTCCTTTCTTTTCCTAAAGTCAGTGAGGAGTGCAAAGGGCACTTGATGGGGGATAGATTACAAACAGAAACAGTCTGGCACAGTGCAGTCTGTTTTTCTCACGTCACTCTCGCAGGTGTCAGAGTAAAGCTGGACTCACCCAGGTTTCACTAACTGATTGTTTTCAGAAGCCGATTATCAAGACACCTCTGGGTGGACTCAAACCCGCGGCCCTCCAGCTAGCAGCATGGTGGGCAGTACCGCTCGCATTCCTCACAGCACGTTTTGTGTCTGCAGCTTCTCGTGGTCTCGGATTTGTTCACTGAGCGCAGCCAGTTTGAGATGATGTACTCCACGCTGACCCAGCTGCGGAGGGTGCATCCTTCCGAAGACGAAATTCTCATTCAGTACCTGGTGCCAGCCACGTGTAAAGCAGCCGCTGTACTGGGCATGGTAAGCCCTCCGGTTGGCGCCTGATGTTGAGAGAATGTTCCGGTGGGACCCAGCCCCTGGAAGTCCATCCTGAGCAGCTTCCATAGCCCACGTGAGCTGGCAGGACCGAGGGGCTGGGGAGGAGACCACTCATGTCATCTGTCCACAATCCACCGGCAGGACTGAGGGGCTGGGGAGACCACTCATGTCATCTGTCCACAGTCCACCGGCAGGACTGAGGGGCTGGGGAGGAGACCACTCATGTCATCTGTCCACAGTCCACCAGCAGGACCAAGGGGCTGGGGAGGAGACCACTCATGCCGTCTGTCCACAGTCCACCGGCAGCCCTGAGGGGCTGGGGAGGAGACCACTCATGTCATCTGTCCACAATCCACTGGCAGTGGCGTGTTAAGACATTAGTCCTGGGGCTCTTGGACCCTTCCTCCTATGTGAACACAAGACTGCGGCTCTCTGACCCGGCCTCCCTGGGGCACCTCAGGGCCCTGTGTGTCTCTGCGGGCCTGCCTCCCGGGAGTGCCTGTCTCCCTGCTCTCTCTGGAGACCGTAGTCACCCCTCAGCCTAAGACTCGGCTGCCTCCTGCTGAGTCCCCCTGTCCTACCTCTGAGTCTGTTAGCATCTAACCTGCAAGCACTGGACCTGTTCTGAGGTATTCTTAGAATACCACCGAGTTAGAGTTCTGGCTTTGTTTTTTGTTTTTCACTTTTGCTAAATTTTGTGACTTGAGTGAAGGTTTACAGACAAGATCAGCAAACCCCACTCTTTGTGTCATTTCAATGATAGCGTGCCTTACATGCAGCAGCAGTGGTCCCGCTCCTCCTTGGGGGGTCCTCCCCAGCTCTTCTCAACTGTGTTCTTAGGAAAACGGTGCCCTTTTTATTGTAAATGATTGACCGTTCCACGGTGAGCAGACCTCGCTAGTGTTATTGCCCCTCTATATATACCTTCAACCACCACCACCATGTGTATGTAAGGAGCTCTGGTAGCATAGTGGTAACAAATCAGGCTGTGAGCCTCAGGGTCAGCAGTTCAAAACTACCAGCTGTTCCGCAGGAGAAAGATGAGGCTTTCTGCTCCCGTAAAGATTTACAGCCTCAGAAACCCTGTACAGGGTCGCAATGAGTCGGAACCGACTCCACGGCACATAACAACAACAGCAACAAACCATGTATATACCTATCTACTACTTGGCTGAAAGTTGGCCCACTAAAGTAAGTTCCTGGTGTGGTGCTATAGGATAAGCACTGGACTGCTAATCACAGGGTTGGTGCTTCTATACAGGGTCACTGTGAGTCAGAACTGACTTGCTGGTATTCAACAATAGGGCGAGTTCCTTTCCAGACCTGAAGGGCAGTCGAGGGCCAGAGTCTCAGCTTCCTCCAGTCTTTCTGACCAGTAAGACTGGTTTGTTTTTTAATTTTTTTGAATTTTGAGTTTTGTTCCACATTTTCTACCCCTGTATCCAGAACCCTAGAATGTGATCCCTTTCAGAGCACTTGGCAGTGGTGGTCGGCCACCGTCCAGTTCTTCAGATCTCAGCGTCGTGGAGACTGATAGTCACATGACCTGCTCGTCCACTGGACTAACGGATTCCAAGTCTCTTTAGTTCTGACCCCTCTTTTTTCTTACGCACATGGAGGGACCAATAGCTGCACCTTAGACAGCTGCTCGTGGGCTTTCAAGATCCCAGACACTACTCCCCCAAACAGGATGTACACCATCATCTTTGTGGACTGTTTTACCATCTGAGCGTAGTGTCCCCTGAGACAGCGGTCCTGAGCCCCTGGGCCCAGCAGCTCATTGCCTTCAGACGATGTTTGAGAGCATCTAGGAGGTTTTCATCATTTTACTTGGCTGTGTGCCCCACCACATTCGTAGTTGTATTTGCAAGAAAGGTAAATGCTCATGTACAAAAAGATCCTGCCCCTTACCCATTTAGACTAGGCTGTGTCTCAGTCCATGTATCTACACACAGGGCACTGTTCCACGGCTGTATATATCACTATTTACCTCTACCCCCTTTAGCCTGTGAATACTTCCCTGTGTCTTCATCATTCTTCTACCATCTACCACCACCCTGGGCGTTACCCTCCTCTTTCTTGTATATTGCCTACCTGTCATCTGAGCTAACACTTGTTTAGCCTCGAACCAGTGAATTACTTTCCCCTCCCTGCCAGCCCTGGTAACCATCAAAGAATGTTTCTTTTAGTATGAAAACCTTTTTATGTGCTTTTACAATAGTGGTCTCATACAATACTTGTCCTTTTACGATTGACTAATTTCACTCAGCCTAATGTTCATCCATTGTTAGGAGGGGATTTGCAGATTCATCATTATTCTTCAAGGTAGCATAGTATTCCATTGTGTGTATGTACCACAGTTTGTTTATCCATTCTTCCGTTGATGGGCACTCAGGCGGTCTCCATCTTTTTGCTGCTGTGAAGAGTGCTGTATTGAACATTGGTGTGCATAGATCTAATAGTGTCCTGGCTCGTATTTCTTGTGGATGTATGCTGAGTAGAGGATTTGCTGGGTTATAAGGTATTTCTATTTCCGACTTTCTGAGGAAGCACCGTATCATTTTCCAGAGTGGTTGGACAGTCCCACCAGCGGTGTAGGAGGGTCCCAGTCTCTCCAGTATTTGTTGTTTTCTGGTTTTTTGAACCTCGCTGTTCATGCTGGTGTGAGATGGGTAATATCTCTTTGTTTTGGTTTACATCTCTAATGGCTAATGTAGTGTAGTGATTATGAGTCGGGCTGCTAACCTCAAGGTCAGCAGTTCGAAACTACCAGCTGTTCCACAGGAGAAAGATGGGACTTTCTGGTCCCATAAAGCCTCGGAAATCCTATCCTGTACAGGGTCGCTGTGAGTCGGAACTGACTCCACGGCACGCCACTACCCACCACCCACCCACCCCCCACCTACAGAGTGGCGCTGTAGGATAAGCACTTGACCATAAGTTCAGTTTGCACTGCAGGTTGGTAGTTGAAACTCACCAGCAGCTCCTCGGAGAACCTCTACAGGGTCGCTGTGGGTCAGAACTGACTGGACAGCACTTAACAACCGCAGTGACTAATGAGTGTGAGCACTTCTTCATATGCTTGTTGGCTGCCTGAATGTCCTCCTTGGGAAATGTTTGTTCATGTCCTGTGTCCATTTTCTAATGGGTTAGTATTCAGAGTCCTGGTGTGGCGCTGTGGGTTAATGCACTGGATTGCAAAGTCGTTTGAACTGCAAGGTTAATGGTTCAAGCTCACCAGTTGCTCCTTGGAAACCCTATACGGACAGGGTCACTATGGGCGAGAATCGAGTCGACAGTGTCAAGTTAGTATCCTGTAAATGTCCATCCTGTGTACCTGTGAGTTCTGCCTGTTACTGAGAGCACAGTGAGGAGCCTCGCTCGGCTTGGCTTGACTACACACCGTCCGTCCTCGTCCGATTTGCTCTGGGGCATGCAGCCTCAGTCCAGTAGTGTGTGGCATTTTCATGCTCAGATGAGCCCTGGAACCTTTTCTTGAGAGCGACAGACATGACTGTGCTCATACACCCTCATGCTACCAGGGACCAGAGGTTCCGGCCCCAGCACCTCCTGAGCTCCCTGCTCTCTGACTGGAGCCCTAGTCCCTGCAGCTAACACCTGAGCACATCGTCCGCCTGCCCTTGTCACCCTCCTGCAGTCTGATGGAGGGGAGGCCCGCTTGTTCCGAGTCACCGGGGCAGCTCCCTGGGCCATCTGTCAGGGTCTTTCTCACTGTCAGCCCCCTGTTCCCGTGCTCTATGGTGCCTCTGTGCTCAGTGAGCCCCCGTGTCCAGGCAGGTATTGTCCTCCATGGGTGGCCCTGGCCCTGGAGCCACGTTGGGGACATCTGAGAGGCCCAGGGGGCAGGAACAATGTGAGTGCTACTTTTCCTTCTGTGGACACTGCTCTTCAAAAGTGGGCTCCCGGGCTGCTCTGAGACTCTGAAAGCAGAGGGTCCTTTTATCTGTGTGGGGAGTGGTAGCTGCAGGGAGAAACTGTAATTGGGTTTTTGTGCTCAGGCCCAGACCCCCTTAGGCAAATGGTGCACTGTCTGATCACAGACATCCTAATCATGAAAGATGGGCGCCCGAGGCGAGATGGCGCCTGGCACCGACTCCCAGGGTGCACACGGTCCAGCAGTGCTTGTTGGCACAGGGGCCGTTGTGGCAGAGGAGGAGGAGGGGAGCGGGCCTCAGCCTGAGCCAGTGGGGCTGCAGGATCCTGCACACAGGGTCTGGTGGCCTGGCAGCTTCTCGCAACTGGTGGTCGTGGGCTGGGTGGTCTGCACACTCGCTTGGCTCCTGTGTGTGCCCCCTGAAGCCCTGCTCTTCACCATGGAAAGAGTCATGTTTCTTAAGTGAAGAAATGGGGTAGACCATGTTCAGGTTTCCGGTCCATCAGTTAGGATGCTGACTGCTGCAGAAGCCGCTGTGTGGTCTTAGTATCGGGTGGTCAGGTCCAGGAGGAGGACTGCTCTACGTGGCTTCTCACGGCTGAGCTGTTACAGCCACAGGGCCCAGAGCAAGACGAGCTCCTGAAACAGGCACCAGGGTGGGGGCTGGGGTGCCTCTCTCTGTGGGCTCAGCATAGCCAGGAGGGCAGCAGGGGCAGATGGGTCAGCAGCACAGGGTTGGCATGGGCAGAGGGCACTGTCCAACGCAGCTGAGTCTTGGTTGTGTGGCTCCCTAGGACAAGGCCGTGGCCGAACCGGTCAGCCGCCTGTTGGAGAGCGCACTGCGGAGCAGCCACCTGCCCAGCCGCATTGGGGCGCTGCACGGCGTGCTCTATGTGCTCGAGTGTGACCTGCTGGACGATACGGCCAAGCAGCTCGTCCCCGTCGTCACTGACTACCTGCTCACCCACCTCAAGGGGCTCGCCCAGTGAGTGCACTGGGGCCCAGCACGGAGGTTGGGGGGCAAGGCCGTCCCTGTACTCCATCACGCCCCCTCTGGTGGCTCTCACTGCACCTCCTTTGGGCACGTGTGTCCTCAGCACCCCAGGGCCTCTGTGCTGGCAGCAATACCTCCCTCATAAAGCACAGCTGACACAAGGCCCTGGCCCTTGCTATGTCGTCCAGGTCATTCCAGGCCCCGTGGCCCCTCCCAGTGCCCAACCTGCTGACTCCCTGCAGCCCGGGGAAAGGCAGGAAGGCCGGCAGTATTAGGACAGGGGCAGGGCCGTCCAGTGGTGGACGTCCTGGATGTCCAGGACACGGGGCATGACTCTCAGAATATGGTGGGGGGGAGTGTTGGACAAGAGGTGTGCCCACCTGGAACCAGCTCCCTGTATTCCAGCTGCGTGAACGTCCACAGCCAGCAGCACGTGCTGCTGCTATGCGCCACCGCCTTCTACCTGATGGAGAACTATCCGCTGGACGTGGGGCCCGAGTTCTCTGCCTCCATTATCCAGGTGAGCTCCAGGCAGGCAGCGCACCGTCCTTGTCCCCGGGGACTCTGGCTGCAAGGAGACCACGGAACATGCAGAGGCCTCTCTCTCCTCTGTGCAGATGTGTGGCGTGATGCTTTCAGGGAGCGAGGAAGCCACCCCTTCGGCCGTGTTCCACTGTGTCCTGCGTGGTCTGGAGCGCTTGCTCCTATCAGAGCAGCTGTCGCGGCTGGACGCCGAGGCCCTGGTCAAGCTGAGTGTTGACCGCGTCAATGTGCACAGCCCACACCGCGCCATGGCCGCCCTGGGCCTGATGCTCACCTGCATGTACACAGGTGTGTGGACAAGTGGACACCCTGCCTGTTGTAGGGAGGAGACCCAGTGCGTCTCTAGAGTACGAGTCGGGGTTGGGGCTCAGGCCCTGTGTGTCACGGGGTCACAGGGTGGGTGACAGCAGGCTGTCTTCCAGGGAAGGAGAAGATGAGTCCCGGGAGAACAGTAACCCCTGCCCCCACTGCCCCGGACAGTGAGTCGGTGATCGTCGCTATGGAACGGGTGTCTGTTCTCTTTGACAGGTAAGAGGTGACACTTGTCACCCCGCCCTTCACGGTCCTGGAGTTTCAGGGACCAAGGCCCTGTGGCTCCCTGTTTGGGGTCCCCACTCGGGGCTCCATGCCACTGGCAGCTTCAACTCCAGGACATCCCGGGTGCTCAGCACCTCCTGTGACCGGAAGGCGGGGTTCTTTGTTCTGGGGACATGTATCAGAGCCATAATTGCTGTCCCCACCCCTGACCATGGAAGGACACTCAGCAGGACCTGCAGCCATGCACTCCGGGGACATTTGGTCAGAGGTTCAGTTCCCAGGCTCGCCGCGTTATCCCGACTTACAGTCAGTGTGGTGTGGGCCACAGGCCAGACTCGGGCTCACGGAGACAAGGTTCCACCTCTGCCATCACTGAGGCTGCCGGGTGTGCTGGGCAGGCAGCTTCCATGTTGGACAATGAGCAAGGACAGTCCCTCTTCCCTGTCCCCCACCCCTACCCCCCATGTGTGCTCACCAAGCTCCTCTAACACATGGGAGCCAAGGCCAGAGGCCACAAGACCAGGTCTCTGCCTCCAGGAGCTTGGCGCTCATGGCCAGAGGACATTTCCAATGAGCAGCACCCAGGAAGAACCTCGTAACAGGACAGCTGTCTGCTCTTGGCTCAGAGGGTGCTCTCCTGAGGACACTTTATGGCCTGTGAGGGTGGAGTCCACGTGCCTCCATGTGGATGCCAGCTCATCCGAGAAGAAGAGGCCTGCTGGGCAGGAGGGCTCCGGGCAGTGGGACACCCTCTGTGGGAACGTTCCCGGCTCTTCACACAGAGACTCAGTACGAGGGGGAGGGGGTGTAATCTTTTCTCCCTCACCATCACCCAGATGGCTTTGTGCCTGCTACCTCACGTGACCTCACAGCCCCTTCTTAGTTCCCAGTTTACATACAGAGTCACCTGCAGAGGAGGTCAAGGGCACATCCTAGCCCAGGCTCCAGGTCAGCCTGCTGGTTCTGGGGTCCAGCTTTGTGCCCAGGTCAGCAGCAGAGCTCCTCTGGGGAAGACGGAGCTGGGAGTCAAGGTGCGGCCCTCACTGCTCCCTCCTCCCCCAGGATCCGGAAAGGGTTTCCTTGTGAGGCCAGAGTGGTGGCCCGGATTCTCCCCCAGTTTCTAGACGACTTCTTCCCACCCCAGGACGTCATGAACAAGGTCATCGGGGAGTTCCTGTCTAACCAGCAACCATATCCCCAGTTCATGGCCACGGTCGTGTACAAGGTGACAGGCACCACTGCATACCAGGATGGGGTGAAGGGAGGCTCCCCTGGAGATGTGGTCCAACTCTGGCCTTGTCACACTGTTGGGCCTCATGATGTGAGGGTCGTGGCCCCTGTAGAACTAGACATGGGGACTGCCTCAGCTCTGTCCTCCGCAGGCCCTGCGTTCCCCGCTGCCCAACCCACAGCCGGAGTCTCCGTCCATCCCCTCCTATGTGTACCCCCACATCCCGTCCCGCGTTTCCCCTAAACCCTGCCCGCTGCTGGCCCTGCAGCTCCCCACCAGCTCCCCCCGTGGCTCTGTGCTCCCTCCGCCATCCTGCGTCTCCATGGCCCTGTACTCCGTCCTCCTACATCTCTGCAGCCCGTCTCCATCTCTCCAGGTGTTTCAGACACTGCACAGCACAGGACAGTCATCCATGGTGCGTGACTGGGTGATGCTCTCGCTCTCCAACTTCACGCAGCGGACGCCTGTGGCCATGGCCATGTGGAGCCTCTCTTGCTTCTTCGTCAGCGCTTCCACCAGCCCCTGGGTGTCAGCAGTGTATCCTTGACTGGGGCCCGGGACCCTGCTTTCTGACAGCTCCCATCTTTCCCCGGCAGCACAGTGCTGTGTACCCCAGCCCTGTAGAGCACACACTACGTACCTTTGTCTGAGAGCGCACACGCTGGCACGGTGCTATGTACCTCAGCCCAAGGGACGTGTACCAGCATGAGGCCGTTCACCTCTGCCTGAGAGCACCCATGCTAGCCAACTAAAGCCAGGTGTGACCCTGTCACCCTCTGGGAACACCCTGAGCCTCCTGTCCTCCGTCCACAGCAGGGAACACCCAGGGACTGCTGCTCATTACTCTGTCAGATGCGGTCCCGCCCCTAAAGCGCTGTCTGCCAGCATTCCCCCTTGGCAGCTTGGCCCCAACACACCACAGAGCCTTAGAGCAGGCGGCTGTCCCAGTGGTGACAGGGCCTCGCCCAGCGTGTGGGCCTGGACTGGTGGGTGGGCACGGGCTCACTGGCAGAGCAGGAGCAGCCGCCGCTGTGCTTGCTGCCGGGAGCCTGGCCTGGCCTGGTAAGTACAAGGCGGCGCAGCCCTGTGCCCGGCCTCGGGAAAACCATGGACTGCAGCTGTTGTGCTGGTGGGGGCCAGCGGGGCTGTCAGGAGCTGTGGACGGGTGCTGGCGGGCGGGACAGGAGCACTGCCCACCTGTTCCTTAACTTCTCGAAGTCTTCCACACGTCATCAGCAGGATGGGCAAGCTGGAGCCGCTGGACGTGAACCTCTTCTGCCTGGTTGCCACAGACTTTTACCGACACCAGATAGAGGAGGAGCTCGACCGCAGGGCCTTCCAGTCAGTGTTCGAGGTGGTGGCGGCCCCCGGAAGCCCGTACCACCGGCTGCTGACGTGTCTGCGGAATGTCCACCAGGGCACCACAGGCTGAGGCTGGGGAGCGGGCAGTGAGGAAGGGCGGACGTTCAGGGCGGGCTTCTGCCCTGCCGGCATGTGGGGCCAGGCGGCCACTGTCCTCTGCGGTGAGGGGACCGAGCAGGGAATGTACGCAGACAGGCGGGGTGGAGCCGAGCGGGAGCAGCCATGCGTTCTGCTAACCCTCCACACTCTAGCTAGCCTCCTCCTCGCGTCAGCCTGACCAGGAGCCAGGCCACAGGCGGCCATTCACCCTGGCAGCTGTCCCTTGGGTGGGAGTTGGTGTCATTGGGCTTGGAGGGTGCTCCCGCAGCGAAATACAGGCGGCTTGGGTCTCCAGACTCGTGCACTCCAGGGGGATGGGCGGCGGGTAGTGGACACCCAGCGCCATTCCCCCTTTTCTCTTTCTTCTCAGGATTTGAAGTTTAATTCTATCAGTAAAGAGATGGATTTTAATGTAACTGTTTCTATGTCCACGTTAAGCCGTGTGACTTGGGGGACAGGGCTGCATGTGGCACACCGACACTTTGTCCCTCTGGTCTGCCAGCGCCTCTTCACGACACCCCGAACGTGCCCCTTTCTATGTATTGTGCAGAGTTTGGGTCAGAGAGTGGTTAGGACCTGGACACTGCCCAGGAACTCCCCGTGTGGAGTGAGCCCCTGAGCGGCTTTACTGGCCACGCGGTATCACTGCCTGTCCCCTCCTTCCTACACAGTGGTGCCCAACCCAGCCATGTTTTGTCAGAACTCCTCTGGGTCGAGAACACATGGGCATCTGGACGGCTATTAGGGGCAGAGCCCACTCCTCTCAGCCCTTCCCGCCAACGTCAGCAGGAGCGCCAAGACTGCATGGTCAGGTGGGACAGGATGAAGGGACAGTGTGACAGGTCCCCAGAAAGGTCTTGGCTCCTGCTATCCGTCCTAGGCCAGAGATGACCGCCGGGTGGAATTGGTGCGGGGCCTCGGCAGCCTGTAGTTGGCTCTGTTCTGCTCAGCTCAGCAGGTGCAGCGGTGGTTTGGGCATTCCAGGTGGTGAGCAGCTTGTTTCCTGGGTGTGAAAGAGAAGAGGGTTGGGCTGTGTCCAGATCACACTCCCAGTTCCCTGGAGTCTCTAAGCCTAGAAGGCCATGACCGGCCACCTCCCTCAGCAGGTGTGTCCAGGGCAAGGCCTGCAGCTCCCAGGCCATGACCACAGTCAGGAGGAGCAGGGGGCGGGGGCCTTCAGTCCTGACCCAGCTGTGAGAAACTGACCCTCACCCACTCTCAGCCCAGCCTTTTCCAGCGCCCCTAGTGTGCTGTGTGTGAGACTCCCTGCCTGCCCCCAGGGTTCTGCCTCGGCTCTGAGGGAGGCATTTCCTGAGCAGATGTTCACATCTGTGAGCATTGGCACTGGGTATGAAATCTGGGACCAATCACTTTGGGATTAATATGGCTGAGCCTGATTTAGAGCCCAACCGACCTCGTCTTTGATCTAAAACCTCCCATTGTTAACAAAGGCTCTTGGCGCTGCTCTGGTGGGAGTACCAACCCAAAGCCCCACCTGTCTGCATATGAACAACCCACCCATGCAAAGTCTACATGTGAACGCGTGGAGATATTTACGGACACTCATGTGTGCATGTGTCTCTTAAGACGCAGATATGTGAGGCAAACACAAATACCCTCACAGGTTCTCCTGTAGCCGAGCTTGCTTGTCTTAGAACTGGGGTGCTGCTCAGAAGGGGCAAGGTCATCGCTCATTAAACCCCACGGGAGAAAGTCTTTCACGTTACAACCAAATGCAGAAGGGATAAAGACTGCCTCGGCTCCTTAGCAGCTTCAGACAAGCACTAGTCGTATAGTGGTTCCAATTTGTTGGGAAGAGCTTGAGTGGGATTCTCAGGGCAGTGGCCAGGTTGGTTTGATTGGGCTTCCTGCTGGTCATGGCACACTCCTGGTGTGGCACTGTAGGATCAGCACTGGGCCACGAACCACAAGGTCAGCAGTTCAGACCCACCAGCTGCTCCTTGGAAACTCTATACAGGGTCGCTGTGACTCAGAATCGACCTGACAGCACTCAGGTGACAGCGTGAGTTGGATGGAACCAGGGTAGATGTGTGTGCCTGGCCGGCTCTTCAGCTGGGCCTCCACCTGTTGGCCTGGCCGGCTATCCCAAATGGCTTTACTCAGGGTCAAGTGCCCTTCTCATTGGCTCTCACATGCTCTGTAAGTGTGGGCTTTCAGAAACAATGAGTGGAGTTGAATCTCTTTTAGACCCTCGGAACATAGCATCAAGAAGTTCCCCCATGGCCACCCCTAGCCCTGCCCCTCCCGGTGGGCTCACTTCCCATAGTAGGGTGGGAAGGGGACTCGATGGCAGAGTTGAAGTGGTGTTGGGTCTGGCTTCTTGTTTGAATTGGGCCCAGTGAACACACTTCTCAGTTTTCTGCTTTGGGGTTTATCCCTCCTGCCCTGCATTGTTTTTGTCATGGGGGCACGGAGGAACAGGCAGCCTGAGGGTACCAGCTCTGGAGAAAAGGACGCCTGTGTTCACCCATGACCATAGAACGAGCCTGGAGGCCCCAGCCACACTTCCCTGTGGGCCTGTTCATTACTAATGCCATCCAAGCAGCCAGCAGGCTCCTTCCTGCAAGGGCCTCGCGCTCTGTCCAAGTGGGGCTGTTGTCTGTAGAGGTTGCCTGCTGCCTCTGCAACCGCTGCTGGAAAGGTGGGACTGTCCATCCGCTCCAGACAGGAGAAAGGGCAGATGTGAGCGCTGGACTTTTTCTAAACTGCTGCAAACACTGTACATCTCAAAATAAACCATGCATTGCTGTCTGAGATTGGCTGTGCTCATTGGGACGGGACTGGCCTGTCCACACAGGAGGGCGGGTGTCTGCTAAGCAGCTGAGTGTTCCACAGGACACCTCACAGTGGTCTCGGGCCAACAAACACGGTGGCCAAAGCTGTCGTCTTATTGATCTTGTCACCTTATGACACACAGGCCATGGGGTTCAGCACTACCTTTCTGGGCCCTAGTTTGGCCCAGAGTGCTAGCCGGTGGTCAGGGCTGGTGCAAGGACTGGAGCCGTGTCCTCCCCAGGGTTATGGTCTGGCTGCCCCCTGCCACCCTAGGGACTGGGCTCCCACCTGGCTCTGTCTGGCTCCACAGGCCCTCCTACCCACGTTGGCCTGGGAGCTCCGTTCCCTCTGAAACACCACCTCCCACAGGAGGTCTCCATCAAACAGGGTGCCCGCTGCCCTCGGGGGCAGCTTCCCAGGCAAGGTCTGAAGTTCCGGAAAATTGCTATCACATCTGGTTTCCATCCACGGGGTCGGGGAGAGGAGTCAGCCAGGCCTGAAATCCACCAGCCAGGCAACATGTGAGTCCTTGGAACACCCTTGGTGTGAGGCTGGTGCATTGTCTGCAGGGGGCAGTGTGACCCCAGAACATGTGCTGGTCACCTGGCTGAGTGGTCAGATGGCTGGACCCTGGGGATAAATGACAGCGTGTGACTGGAGGGGTTCTGGGGACCCACAGGTTAGCTCAGTTCTCAGTCCCTGACCCCATAGCCCCCTGGCTTTCAGGCAAACTGAGTCCCCTTCCCCTTGATCTCAGCACAAGTCCAGGCCTTCTGCACCCTGGAGCCATGCTGGTATTCCGGTGTCCTGAGGGTGGCAGTGTGGCCTGCACACTAACCTGCCTCCTGCGGAGTGGCAGCCAGCCGGTCGGGTGCTGTCCCCTCACAGCTCTGCGCCTTTACTGAGTTTGGTGTCTGGCTAGGACTTGCTTCCTTCCAGAAAGTACAGGATGTTTTTCCCACATGCAACATAAATTGGGTGGAGGGGCCAGCCAAAGGGAACCAAGGATGGGTGTGTCGGGGAGGGGGTGAAGGGTGGGGTTGGGATGTACAGTGTGGAGGTGGGGTGAGGTGGGCTCAGGGTGTTGTATGGGGGTGTGGTGTGTGTAGATGTGTGCAGATGGAGATGGTGTGAGGCATGTGCGGTATGTGGGGTGGTGGATAAAGGTACGTATGGTGTGGGGGTAGGAATGAGGGATGTATGTGGCAGTATGAGGTATGAGGAAGGAGTGTGGGGTAGGGTGGGATGAGGGTGTATGATGTGGTGTGGGATGAATTGTGAGGCATAGATGACGTATGAGTGACGTGTGTGTGGAGGTGGGATGTGTTGTGGGTACAAGGATCCCACCTGTCTCCATGGACGGGGATAGATCCCGTGGGTGTGCTCAGAAGTCAGACCACCTGGAGCCCTTCTCCTGGGGGCTGTGGGGTGGGATGTGGGGTGCTCGCAGCAGAATGAGACATGCTGTGCAGGGAGATGGTGTGTGGTTCCATGGCCTCTCAGCCTGGTATCCCGCCCTCCTGTCCTGGGCTTGCCTTGTAAAGCAGTATCTGAAGCATGGGGAATAGGGAAGCTCTGAGGTTGGGACTAGAGTAGGCCCCCCTGGCTGAGGGCCACAGGTCATGGGTCTGGGCCCGGTGGCTGATCCCTGTGCACCACCAATGCCTCCTTCCCAATAGCACCCACCACCTCCTGAGCCCTCCATCCTGCCCTCCCCACCTCCATGGCTCTGGCAGCTCACAGCATCATTGAAAAACCATAGCCTTGTCCTGAGCCTTCGAACTCCATGCCTGGACCCTCCCCCTCCCACCACACCACACACCACACACCACAAGCCTCGAGGACCTCACTCCTGCTGCAAGCTCAGCTCCCAGCTGCCATCTCAGCAGGTGTGGATGGGGGCCCTGCAGTGGGTGTCTGCTTCCATGTCAGCTGAGTCCTGGACGAGGGTGTTGGACGGATCACTATTCAGAGAGGACACCAGGGCGTGGGGAGAGAGGGTCTCTCCAGGCATGGTGGCCAAGCTGTAGCCCCCTAGGACCCCTCTCTGAAGCCTCACCCACCGCTTCTCCCCACAGACAGTTCTGGAAGCCTCCCTGGTCCTCTACCTCTGATCCCACAGTGACCGAAGGTCCCTGATGGCCATGCAGCTGTGCCAAGGTATGTAGCCTCTCT